AATCTGAGTAATCAGGGTATCCGTCACCTCAGGCATTTATTATTTCTTTGTATTAGGAATATTCCAATTTTATTCTTTTAGTTATTTTAAAGTGTACCCTAACTTACTGTTCATTATAGTCACCTTTATGTGCTAGCAAATATTGTTCATTCTATCTAACTATATTTTTCCACCTATTAACAAACCCCACTTTATCTCCTTTTTCCCCACTACTATCCTTCCCAGCCTCTGGTAACCATCATTTTACTCTCTTTCTCCATGAGATCAATTGCTTTTAATATTTAGCTCCCACATATGGGTATGAACATGTGAGAAGTGTCTTTCTGTGCTTGGCTTATTTCACATAATATAATGTTCTCCAGTTCCATCCATGGTATTGCAAATGGCAGGATTTCATTCTTTTTTGTGGCTGTATAATATTCAACTATACATCTGTACCACAGTTTTTTTATCCATTCATCCAGTGATGGACACTGAAGTTGATTCGAAATCTTGGCTATATGAATAGTGCTGAATAAACAGGGGAGTGCAGATATCTTTTAGGTGTACTGATTTCCCCTCCTTTGGATATATTCCCAGCAGGCGGATTGCTGGGCTATAGGGTAGTTCTATTTTCAGTATTTTGAGGAACCTCCATACTGTTCTCTATGGTGGTTATGCTAATTTACATTCCCACCAACAGTGTACAAGGGTTCCCCTTTCTCTACATCCTCACCAGCATTCATTATTGCCTGCCTTTTTGAAAAGAGCTATTTTAACTGGAGTGAGATGAAATCTCATTGTAGTTTGAATTTGCCCTTCTCTGATGACTACTTATGTCAAGCATTTTTTCATACATGTTGGCCATTTGTATGTCTTCCTTTGAGAAATGTCTATTCAGATAATTTGCCCATTTTTAATTGGATTATTTGTGTGTGTGTGTGTGTGTGTTGTTTCCTATCGAGTTGTTGGATCTCCACATACGTTCCTGTAGTCCCTTGTCAGATGATTTGTTTGCAGATATTTTCTTCCATTCTGTGAGTTGTCTCTTCACTTTGTTGAGGTTTCCTTTGCTGTGTAGAAGCTTTATAGCTTGGTGTGGTTTCATTTGTCCAATTTTGGTTTGGTTGCCTGCGGTATTACTCAAGAAATCCTTGCCCAGACCAATGTCCTGAAGCATTTGCCCAATGTTTCCTTTTAGTATTTTATACTTTCAGGTCCTAGATTTAAGTCTTTAATCCATTTTTATTTGATTTTTGTATATAGTGAGAAATAAGAGTCTGGTTTCATTCTTTTGCATGTGGATATCCAGTTTTCCCAGCACCATTTATTGAAGAAACTGTCTTTTCTTCACTGTATGTTCTTAGCAGCTTTGTCAAAGATAAGTGTACTATAGATGTCTTTATTTATTTCTTAGTTCTCTGTTCTATTGGTTTATGTGTCTGTTTTCATGTCAGTAAAATACTGTTTTGATTACTACAGCTCTGCAGTATAATTTGAACTCAAGTAATGTAATTCTTTGAATGCTGGGTGGAATTTAGCAGTGATCCTATTGGGTCCTGGGGTTTTCCTTGATGGGAAATTTTTATTACTGCATCTATATTATTACTGGCTATTGATTTATTCAGGTTTTGAATTTCTTCTTGGTTCAATTTTTGTAGATTTTATGTGCCTAGGAATTTATCCATTTCTTCCAATTTATTGGCATATAGTTGCTCATAATAGTCTCTAATGATCTTTGAGATTTCTGCAGTATCAGTTGTAATGTCTCCTTTTTCATCTGCTTTTATTGACTTCAGTCTTCTCTCTTTTTTTCATTAGTCTTACTAAAGGTGTGTCAATTTTGTTTATCTTTTCAAAAAACCAACTTATCATTTCATTGATATTTTGTATTATTTTTGGCTCCAATTTCATTTATTTCTACTCTGATCTTTATTACTTCTTCTACTAACTTTGGGTTTGATTTGCTCTTTGTTTTCTAGTTCTTTGAGGTGCATTATTGTTTATTTAAAGCTTTTATACTTTTTTGATTTAGGCACTTATTTATTGCTATAAACTTTCTTCTTATTATTTAATAACCTATGGGTTATTATCAAAACCCATAGGTTTTGATATGTTGTGTTTTCATTTTCATTATTTTCAAGATATTTTTAAATTTCCCTCTTAATCTCTTTATTGACCCATTCATCATTCAAGAGCACATTGTTTAATTTCCATGTTTGTATAGTTTCCTATGTGCCTCTTTGTCATTGATTTCTATCAATTGTTATTAATAGGTAAGGACTTACTGCTGCCATGTTATCATTTGATTTCTGATTGTTTTTTGGTCCTCTCTTTCTTGCTTCCCCCATCTTCTTTTGTGAAAAGTGATTTTCTCAGGTAGTGTGTTTTTAATTTCTTGCTTTTTATTCTTTGTGTATATATTGTAGTTTTTTTGCCATGAGGCTTGCAAAAATATTCTATAACCAATTATTTTAAGCATATGACAACTCTGGTTACAAACAAATAAACAAGCAAAGAGAAATAAGTAAATTCTACCCTTTAACTCTGCCCCCACACTTTTTAACCTTTTTTTGTTACATCCATATCTTTTTATGATATCTATCATTCAAAAAGTTGTAGTTATTTTTGATAGGTTTGTCTTTTAGTCTTCCTACTTGAGCTATAAGTGATTTATGTGCCACAATTACAACAATAGAGTACTCTACATTTGTGCATTTACTGTTACCACTTAGTTGTATACCTTTAGATGATTTCTTATTGTTTATTAAGGTCTTTTGTCCTTTTCCTTTAGACTGAAGGACTCCTTTTAGCATTTCTTGTAGGAGAGGTTTGGTGTTGATGAAATCCCTCAGCTTTTGTTTGTCTGGGAAAGTATTTCTCCTTCATGTTTGAAGGATATTTTTGCAGGATGTGATATTCTAGAGATAAAGTTTTTTTTTTTTTTCCACACTTTGAATATGTCATGCCACTCTCTCCTTGCTATAAGTTTTCCACTGAGAAGAGGTCTGGGATTATTCTAAGTAATGTGAGAAGAATAGATAGACTGAATCAATAGTAGAAGTGAAAGGCCAATTAGGAGGCTTATTATTCCAAGAAAGAGGTGATAAAATTTTGATTTAAGGTGATAGCATTAAAATTAGAAAGGAATGGACAATTTAAGCTATATCTCAGAAATAGAACCCAACTTTATTGAGGGTGTTTAAATGCAATACATTGAAATAATTTTATGATAAATTAGAATGAAATTACAATAATCGTGCCAGTTACTTAAAGATTTGCAGGTTAAATAAATCATCCATGTATAGAAATGCACTTGTTCTTTTTTCTTGACTATTCCCACTGTTGCTTCTATATACCTGAATATATAAGTATATCCATGTTTGTTCTGTGTGTCTCTGGGATACTGAGATATTAAGCATATAAGGAAAACATCTGGAAGTGCTTTTTCATTGATCATAATTCAGACAAATTAATGTAATAATTCTGCATCTTAACTATCTTAACTCATACCCTCTGTGGTTTTCAGGACACTGAAGTTCTTGTTTTATTCCCAACAACTACAACTACCATTTATTTAATGTATCAAATGAGCCAGGTACTGTGTTAGATATTTCACATATTTTATTTCTAATTCTCATTAAGACCATACACAGAACTATCCAATTTTATAAAGTGAAGAAACTAATATGTTCAGAGAAGTTATTATGAATAATCTGCCCAAAGTTGGCTGTCTAATAAATGATGAGGACAGAGGCCAAACTCTTCTGTATATTTTGAAGACAATTACATTCCCAGGACCTTGGACAGCCACTGGCAAGAATGAACACTCAATAAATGTGTGGTGACTAAATGTGTACTTATGTCTCTCTCTGCATCTATTTGCTATTAATAATTCATATTTCTTTTCTCAAAGCACATGGTAAACTTTTCAGAATAAAATGGACTTAATAATGATCAAGTTTAAACTCTTTAGATTCTAGCATTTATATTTAGATTAGAAAGTGGCAAGAAATAAAGTTAATGAAAAACAGTGTGCCAGAATGGCCAAACTGTGAGAAGTCATCTCTTTATTTGTGCTTCATAAAGCTGTGTGTATGACCTATCATGTCTTTAATGTTTTGTTTCTTTTCTTGAGTTTATATCAAAATAGGAACATGAATTCTTTGTATTTTATATCAAGAATATGTTGATATTTGTTTCCATCATTATTTTTGTTTTTTAATTTGGGCCTCAGAGAGAAAAGACACTCTTTAAAATTATCTACAAGGTTAATAAAATATGTTGACGTGACGCCGAGCAAAATTAGTATAGAGAGACAAAATTTGACCTGAAAGCCTTTGAGACCTAGGATTCCAACACCTGACTAGTTTTATTTGTTTTTCATGTCCTATTTACTCATATTTTTTTTCTTTTTTTTATGCATCTTCTAAAGGCATTCAGTGCTTCAGGACCTCATTTTACCCACATGAAAATAAACTCTAAAAATCTGATTAGGATATTGGTGGTATCATTGTAAAGAAAAACAAAATCATTGATTGAGGCCAGAAGTTCAAGACCAGCTTTGGCAACATGTCTGTACAAAAAATAAAGTATTAGGTAGGCACACTGGCTTGTACTTGAAGTCCCAGCTACTCAGGAGGCTGAGGTAGGAGGATCACTTGAGCCCAGGATTTCAAGGCTACAGTGAGCTATGATCACATCACTGTACCCCAGCTTGGACGAAAGAGTAAGACCTTATCTTGGAGAAAAAGAAAGAAAGAAAAAAGGAAGAAAAAAATTCAGTTTTTTCCGGTTTTGTTATTTTTAGTTTTTTTCTTATTTTTTCCTTTTTTTCCCATTTGTTTTCTTTGCAGGGGTTTTGGTTTCAAATTAAAATTGTTGGAGTTTTTTTTTTTGTTGAGGTTTTTGGTTCTTACTTTTGTTTTGGACCTTTTTGTTTTTGGGAAAAATTTTGTGTTGTTGCCAAATTTTTTTTTTTTTCCCACCTTTTTTTTTAATCTGGTGAACACTTTCCTCAGAAATACCACAGATGGCTGGTACCTGTATGCTGATAGTTCCAATGGGAAATTTGGTGACACGGCTGACATCCTCACTCCTGTCATTTCACTCACGGGACCAAAATGTACCTTGGTATTCTGGACGCATATGAATGGAGCCACAGTCGGTTCTCTCCAGGTACTGCTTAGGAAATAACGTTTTCTAAATTTCCTTTATGAAAATTTATAATGCATAATTTAGTGTCATTAAAATATAGTGTGTTACTAAATGAAAATGGACAATTATCAGCACTTTGGTAGTTTCATAATGGCATGATTGAGTAAAAGCTTTAGCAGAATTGGACATGAATAGCTAATAGTTAATTTTTACTCTAATTTATGAATGTTTTTTATTCTGAGGTTACAGCTTCTGTATAATACTATTTTACACTTGAAACATATCATGTAGGTTTCAGTATCTATGTTTTGAGTATAATACAATCAAATTAATGTATATACTTTGGTAATATTGGAGTATGTATTCTTGTTGTCTTTGATGGTAGTAGTGCTACATTCTGCAATGGTCTTTTTCAAATTCTTTGTAAAAAAAGAAGAAGAATTAAGCTGTTTCAAATTCACAAAATATTGCAAGAATAGCACAGATACTTCAATACACCCTTTACTCAGAGATCCTATATTTTGCCAATTATCCTAGTAATGTCCCTTATAGAAAAAAAAAATCTAATAGAATATCAGATATTTTAACCAGTTATTTCTTTCTAGTATCTTTCAAACAGGAATAATTCCTTAATCTTCCTGGATATCTGTGACCTTGACATTTTAAGATTATAGCCAAGTCATTTTGTAAAATATCTTTCAGTTTGGATTTGTTTAGTGTTGAGCAAATTTTTTTGCTCTTAAATCACCAATATTGCATTCTGTTGGTTAGTGATGTCTTTCAGTATTTTAAGGCTATGTAAAATCTTGATTTGGACTCAATTTTATCCACAAATTTTCGGCATTAGTGTTTTTTTTTTTGGCCTGAACTAATTTTTCTATGATGTTTACCTGTTATTTTCTAACTCCATTATTCTGTTTATATCTGTAGTTTGCATTTATATTGTAAATAAAAACATTCTCACCTCTCTATTTTTTCCACTTATTGTTTTATATCGGTGTGGGCTTATGAGTTCCTATTTTATACAATGTATTATAATCTATTTTTATAATTTATTTGGTCATTACATGGTCTCAGATTTGTTCATAGAATCCTTCTAGACTGACTTCATGTCTCTCTAACAAGCCGTATTATTCTTTGAGCATTTTTTTTTCTTTCCAGCCAACATTTCCAAACGCATCTTATTTTTATCCTGTCTTATCTCTGAAAGAACCTATTTCTCCAGGATATTTTTTGTTTGTTTGTTTATTTCTTTTGTTTGTTTTGTTTTTGAGGACCAAGAAATACAGGCAAAACAGAGAGGAATTCTAGAATATTAATGTAGATTTCCAAGTCCTGTCTTCTTATGTTGGACATGCCCTGATAGAGAATAGTACATAGATAAGGTTTGTAAGTAAATGCATAGACATATCACTTATATGAAGCCAACTCAGTTTTGGAGCATCTCCATTATTATTCAGTTTTATAGCTTATGTGTTACTTTCCAAGAAACCATGACTGAAAAATAAATCTACACATTCCAGAATTATATACCATGAGCAGTTTTAAACAAGGGATATCTGGTTAGAAGCAATCTACAGATAAAGACTTTCCTCCTCTCAAATGTTGTTTGTTTGCCAAGAAGTCTGTCTCTAGCGTATTTTCAACAAGATTAGACTTAAGTTACTTGCCTTCTATTTCTTTAATAAAGAAAGAGAAACATTGCAGGGCAGCTTCTTGACTACTTCTTTCCCAATAGTTTGATTGTAATTTCAATTGTAGGTGCATTTCCAGCAATTTCATTATGTTTTTATTCTAGGTTTTTCCTGGCTATTATTATTCATTTTTTCCAAATAAATATTAAACATAATTTCTTTCAAAAATGCATTTTTAAAATTTGGAAACGTATTAACCTTATAGATCAATTTTGGGAGAATTGTCCCCCTTATGATAAGGTGAGACTTCTTGCCAAAAACTGTCTAAAAGTATATTTGCAGGTATTCATGCATGTATGTGTTTAATAATAGAAAAGCATCCAAATAATCTTTTTTATTTCAAAATATTATAGGGATACAAATGTTTTTGGTTATATGGATCGCTTTTGTTATACTTGAGTCATGGATATAAGTGTTGTCCATTACCCAAATAGTGTTCATTGTACCTGTTAGGTAGGTTTTCAGTCATCTCCTCCCTCCCTTCACCCCCTGTATGATTTCTACTGAGTTTTACTTCCCTCTGTGCACATGTGTGCTCATCGATGAGTTCCCATTTAATAGTGAGTGCATGTGGTGTTTATTTTTAAATTCTTGATATACTTCACTTAGGAGAATGGTCTCCAGTTCTATCCAAATTGTGGCAAAAGGCATTAATTCGTTCTTTCTTATGGCTGAGTACTACACTATGCTATACAAATACCACATTTGGTTAATCCATTCATGTACCGATGGGTACTTGCATTGATTCCACATCTTTGCAATTATGAATTGTGCTGCAATAAACATTCAAGTGCAGGTGTCTTTTTGATAGAATGACTTCTTTTCCTTTGGGTAGATATCCAGAAGTGAGATTGCTAGTTCAAATGGTAGGTCTACTTTTAGCTCTTTAAGGAAACTCCATAGTGGTTTCCATAGATGTTGTACTAATTTGCAGTCCCACCAACAGTGAATAAATGTTCCTTTCTCTCTCCATCCATACCAGCATCTATTGTTTTTGGACGTTTTAATAAAAACCTTTTTAACAGGGGTAAGGTGATATCTCATTGTGGTTTTAATTTGCATTTCCCTGATGATTAGTGACATTGAGCATTTCTCATATGTTTATTGGCTATTTATCTATCTTCTTTTGAAAAGCGTCTGCTCGTGTATTTTGCCCACTCTTTAATGGGGTTGTTTGTTTTTTTCTGTTGATTTGTTTGAATTCTTTGCAGATTCTGGATATTAGCCCTTTATCAAATGTATAGTTTGTGAATATTTTCTCCCATTCTGTAGGTTGTTTATTTCTTCTGTTATTCCTTAGCTGTGCAGAAGCTTTTAATTTAACCAAGACACATTAATTTATTTTTGTTGTTGCTGTAACTGCCATTGAGGTCTTAGTCATAAATTCTTTGCCTAGACTAATGTCTAGAAGAGTTATTCCTATGTTTTCTTCTAGAATTCTTATGGTTTCGGCCTTACACTTAAGTCTTTTATTTATCTTGAACTAATTTTTGTCAGCAGTTAGAGGGATCCTGTTTCATTCTTCTGCATATGGCTGTCCAATTTTCCCAGCACCATTTATTGAAGAGGGGTTGTTTTCCCCAGTGTATATTGTTGTCTGCTTTGTCAAAGATCAGTTGGCTATATGTGTATGGTTTTATCTGAGTTCTCTGTTCTGTTCTATTGCTATGTCTCTATTTTTTGTGCTGTTTGGGATACTATAGCCTTGTAGTGTAGTTTGAAGTCTGGTAATGTGATACTTAAAGATTTGTTCTTTTTGCTTCAGTTTCCTTTGGGTATTTGAATTCTTTTTTGGTTCCAAGCAAAGCATAGATTTATTTTTTCTAGACCAATCCATGAGCATGATATATTTTTCCTTTTGTTTGTGTCATCTGTGATTTCTTTCTTCAGTGTTTCATAGTTCTCTTTGTAGAGGTCTTTCACCTCCTTGGTGAAGAATATTCCTAGTTATTTTATTTTATTTGTAGCTTCTGTGACTAGTGTTGAGTCTTTGATTTGACTCTCAGCTTGACTGTTTTTGATGTATAGGAATGCTACTCATTTATGTACATTGATTTTGTAATCTGAGACTTTGCTGAAATCATTTATCAATTCCAGGATACTCTTGTTCGAGTCTTTGGGGTTTTCTAGCTATGTGATCATATTGTCAGCAAAAAGCAGTAATTTGATCTCCTGTTTCCTGATTTTGATATCCTTTATTTCATTCTCTTGCCTTATTGCTGTGGGTAAGACTTGCAGCACTATGTTGAATAGAAGTGGTTACAGTGTCCCCCTTGCTTGTTCCATCTCTTAGGGGGAATGCTTTCAACTTTTACCCATTCAATATGATGTTGGCTGTGAGTTTGTCATATATGGCTTATGTAATTTTGAGATATTTTCCTTTTCTTCCTAGTTTGTTGAGGATTTTGTTATGAAAGGGTGCTGCATTATTAAGATAATCATATGGTTTTTGTTTTTGCTTCTGTTCATGTGGTGAATCACATTTATTGATTTATATATGCATCCCTTGGATGAAGTCCACTTGGTCGTGGTTGGTTATTTTTGTGATGTGCTATTGAATTTTATTGAGGATTTTTGCATTTATATCCATAAAAGACATTGGTCTGTAGTTTTCTTTTTTTGTTGTGTCCTTTCTTGGCTTTGATATCAAGGTGATACTGGCTTCATAGAATGAGTTGGGGAAGATTCCTTACTTCTCCATGTTATGGAATAATTTTTGTGGTATAGGTATCCTCTCTTCTTTGTAGGTCAGTAAAATTTGGCTGTGAATCCACCTGGTCCAGGTCCAGGGCATTTTTGTTTTTGTTGGAAGAATTATTATTATTATTATTATTATTATTATTATTGCTTCAATCTCACTGCTCGTTATTGGTTGGTTCGGTAGTTCTGTTTCTTCCCGATGGAGCCTTGGGAGATTGTGTGTTTCCAGAAATTTGTCCATTTTCTTTACATTTTCTAGTTTATGCGCATAAAGATTTTCATAGTATTCATAGATGATATTTTGTTTTTATGTGGTATCAGTTGTAATGTCTCCTTTCTCATTTTTGATTGAGCTTATTTGAGTCCTTTCACTTCTCTTCCTGGTTTCAAATAGTCTTATGGGTGAAAGTTTTAAATTGACTTTAAAAAATGGTTTTGGGAAAAACAATTACTACAGTTTATTGTAAGGTTTTTATCAGTAAAATGAGAATTATTTTCCTGGCATATTTTGTGGTTAAAAGTAATGATTTGAGATATGCTTTCAGTTTTTTTTTCAGAATGAAATTTAGTACTAGTTGATAAAATTACAAAACAGTATTAAAATTTTATAAGTAATTTATTATCGAATAAAATGATGACACACACAATCCTTATATTTGTGTGTGGATAAATGAAATAATATTAAGTCTTCCATTCATGTGTTACTTGAACCTTTTTTTGTTTTTAGTGATTTGTATATAGTTTGGTATTCATACAAAGAAAGCTTATTTCCTATTCATTTTTTCAATATCTTTCAAAAATGATTTTATTTGTTATAAATTATATTTTCTTGACTTTGGTAATATACTGAATTAATTTGAAATTTTATAGACCAAGAGTTTGATGCTATTTTTGCTAGCAACATATTACTTTTTCTGTAACTCTGGAAACTCTAGTTCTATTTAAAAAAAACCACATTCATCTGAATCTAATTTACAAAACAGCTAATGAAACCATTAAATGTTATCTTCATTTTCTAAAAGTCAAAAACCGTATAAACCCTTTATCTTAATAAGTCTTTGGTTGTATAAATTATATTTTTTAAAAGTAGTGTTGTGAAATAATTAAACCATCTATGTCAGTTATTTTGCAATGTGAAATTGTTCTGCTTTTCGCATAATCATCAATTACTCTCTTCGTGGCTCATTTTGTATCATTCTAAAGTAAGAACCATGATAGTTTGTCTGCTGAGACTAATCTGAATTTTCCTTTGGAGTGAGGGTGCAATACTAACAAAGATTTGTTGGTTTTAAGACTGTTGGGCAGGAAGCTGCTATTGGAACAGCATGAATCGGTGCCCCCTCATTGCACCTGTCTGTGCTATTACAATTAAGTGGCTCACATTGTAACATTACTGCCCCACTGAAACCAATTGGATGAAGAAGTTCATTTTCAAAGGACTGTTTTAATAAGTAATTCCATTCATTTGACCACACGAAAAAATATATAAAAATACCAATTGTTACTGCTGTCAGATTTTTAAAAAGCTAATGTAGTTGAATTCTTAAATGGTGCCAGGTACCTTAGGACCTAACTGACAGAAATTCATATACACCTTTATTGCACAGAGCAGGTGAGGTACCCTAGGGCCACCATGCTTTATAGCAGAAAATAAAGACATCTATGAAGAATGTCTCAACTCTTCTCTCAGGGACTTGATATTGATATTAAAATTCAAAAAGTGAAGTCATTAGAAAAACTCTACGTGTTTAAAACTTCTCAAGTTAAATACTTCAATGTGTTTTTCTTGATTTATATCTGTAGGTGCTTATCAAGAAGGATAATGTTACTTCTAAATTGTGGGCTCAAACTGGACAGCAAGGTGCACAGTGGAAGAAAGCAGAAGTGTTTTTAGGGATTCATTCGCAAACACAGGTTTGTAATCCAGGCAGTTATGTGATGAAGGGGTTCTGTTGTTTTTTTCTTTCATCCCACTTTACTTCTTCCACTCACAGTCCTCTTGTTCCCCCGTTTCCTTTTTGATGTGTTGTATGACTGCACAGGCACAGCACTTACATTGCATAGTGCATTTTCCGTGAGGACTGTACAATTCATAATATTCTGATTTCTTCCAATTAGACATTCACACTTCTAGGAACGTTTCATTTGAGTAACAACTTTTGTCCACTTCCCAAGAAGCTTCCCATATATAAAAAACCTCTCTCTCTATTTTACAAATATTATATAAGAGACTGTAGAGTAATTAAATAATTTCAAACCCGTAAAAGGTAGTCTTTTGAAAGCACGTTATGTTGCTGACTCTTTATTATAGGGAATAGATTTACCTAATTTAAACTATTTTGGAGGTGCAATTTTGTGGTGTGCTATATTTGTCTTCATGTAAATTACAGTAATATTAAGGGGATAAGCCCTATACATATTTAATAATTAAAGAGAAGTACTAGTACATAGATTAAAATGTTTGACCTAAAAATAACTATGTGCCAAAATATTTGGTATAGATTTTACTTTTTATGATTATCAAGAAAATAGGAGCTCCATGGGTGGTGGTTTTATTGAGAGTTTTCTTGGAAGATGAGGCTTAACTATAAAGATTTGTTAAAATTGGGATAAGCAGAGTGAGAACACAGAGTCATTTATGTAGAAGAACATTTTCTTCTTAGTCTTAACTGCCTGGGGCTTAATTCTATGACTTTAGAACTGTTTATCTCTAGATAGAAAGGATAAGATCCTTGCTAAATATTGCATTTCCAATGTTCTATATGTGAAGCAAGGGTAGCCTAATCAGCTGTGAATGTTCTGTATAAGTATCTACAGTCATGTGCTTTCTCTGATAAATCAGCCCCTCTCAACTCTAATGGAAGGAAAAGTTGGATACAGCTATACAAAAGCAGTATGCCCAGTTTCTTGGAATGACAGGTGTAATATAAATCCCATATATTTTTGCCTCTCACCGAAATCCAGCTTTTTTATGAATTGTTTGTAGATAATTTGGGATATAGATAAGAAGTAAGTTCAACCTGAAGAAGTAAAGACTGGCTAGGAATTTAATAGCCTTGCACAAGACAAGATTTATTAATAGAAGGATTCCAGCTGTTCAGCCTCCAAGGTCTTTAAACTGAGGCAAGAAGAATCCCCAGCGACAATGTGTAGAAGGTTCTGCTGCTGCCAAGCATGGGCTTCCACCCCAGGCAATTAATTCTTAACTAGTTCTGTCCACATAGAATATTTGTATAGCAAAATCATGTCCAAAGTAACATTAAGGGGGGATTTCATCAAGTGGAATTAATTAATAGTTTAGCCTTTCTGAAATTCTAATTGTTCATATATTGAAACTTGATTAAAGAGAAGTATATCCATGTTGTTTGCATCTTTAAGCTAAATACTAACAACTTGTGAACATTTGCCAATTCATATGATTCACTCAATTTTGCAGTACAGAATTCTGTGTGCTTCTCATGTGCAAATCACCTTCCACTTGCAAAGCGCATTACTCTGCACTATGCACAGGGATGAGTACAGGGATACTGTTCATGATTTTTCCAATACTTACAATATCCTTCCCTTTAAGCATATTTTTAGAAATTGTATGCTGAAACCTCACAGGAAAGTGTGCATAGTTTTATTTTGGACACCCCCAAATTTCAACAAAATCTTTAATTATAATTTTTTATAATCAGAGCAATCACATGTATAGCATTAAGTGCTAAGTACTGCCTTCTGAATTTTTAAAATATTTACACATTTTGTCTTCACAATAGCCCTAGGAGGTACATACTATTGTTATCTCCATTTTATAGATTAGAATATAGAAATTGCCTAGAAGTTAGGTAGCTTGTTCTAGTTATGTAACTGCAAGATGGCAGAGGCAGAGTTTCCACAAGTCCACCATCCAACTGCTATGCTATATTCCCTCCTAAATTTTGCAAAAATAATTAGCCATGACTTTATTCTACCTTTAAAAAATATGTGTCATAATTTTTTGTTGTTGTTGTTGTTTAAATTAATCACATTCAGTATTAAAGTCTATGGAATGCCACCCAACCCTGTATGGAATACTGGGACAATGATTTCATCACTGGGACATGGCAAGCAACTGAGATCATATCTGCAAGATAGTAGATTAACAAATTAATAGTGAAACATTGAGTTAGCTTATTTCTTATTCACAGAGCATTGTGTTGCATATGTAAATATTTAGACTATCCAAATAGTAGAGTATCTTTTTAACTTTGTGTATCAGTGTTTCTCCAGGGTTCAATTTTTCTTGTAGAAAGTTGTAGTCCTTATTTTTCTCCAGTTTCACCTCTTCTTAATCATGTCCAAGCTCTTCTATCTGTCAAATTTATTTTCATGTTCCAGGTCATCTGCTATGAAGACCAATTTATTTCTTTTATACAAATTCAACACACAAAAACTGTTATAGTTTTCTTTTGATAATATGAGAGGCGTGATTTCAATTATTCTATCTTATTTTATACTATATGTGAAACACCCAGGTTCACACAATAGTATAAAGGCATTGCACATCTTAAGGCAAGACTGGAATTACTTCTTTTAAGAAAAAATAATTGTCCAAAACTGGTCTAAAGGTATTTAGGAGCTTGATAACAGTAAATATTTTGTACAAAATCATTAAAGTAAAACTGTACTTCTTGTTAACTCATCTCTAAATATTCTAAATTTATTTCAAAATATATGAATATTTCTTATGTTAACATATACATATTTAGCCTGCAGAGAAATTTAATAAAAACACTGAATTAATTTCACTGAGAAATCTGAAAAATATATATATAATTTTTATGTACCTATGAAACAGGGTTGTTATTCCAAGCAGTGGTATTGTTACAAACTGAACAATGGAATTTCTAAAATCATCAATGACTCTTGTTTTTATTCGCCATCATTTATGATTCTACTCAAGTTCACATACATAGGAAATCATTGTCAAGCAGTAGGAAATCATTGTCAAACAGTGGGACACTTGCATGAGGACCTTGTTCATTAAGTACATTAATCAAAGACAAATCAAAATCATTTCCATTTCAAAGATGTGGCCAATTAAAAAAAAGTATGGTAATGAGGATTGATATCTTTTAGCTTCCAAATAGTTGAAGTAGTCATATCTGGGGTCTTGCAAGAATTGAGCAAAATAGAGGTTGTACTTGTATCTTCTTTCTCTTTGTGCTTTATGTCACCTGATGACCTCCTACTTCCATGTGTGATGAAACACTAAAAAATGACCTGGTCTTGTATGCGATATGATTGCTGGCAGAGGCAACAAGAGTGGGTTGGTGTCTCCTGCCAATTTCCTGGCCCCATGTCCTAAAAATCTAAGCACAAGGCAGTAGTGTTGCCATTTCCACATTTTAGATATTGAGGATGACCCAGATTTTAAATGACTCTCAAATTTCCTAGTCACTTTCATTATAGGGACATTTTAAAAATCAGATTCAAGCTTAATGTGTTTGAGATTTAGTGTTTGCCCAAGTTTTGAACTTCTTAATTGACAGCTCAGCTCAACTCTAATTGGCTTTTCCTGTTTTTTTTGTTTTTTTGGTTTTTTTTTTTCAGATTATCTTCAGGGCAAAACGTGGTGTCAGTTACATCGGAGATGTAGTGGTGGATGATATTTCCTTTCAAGATTGTTCCCCCTTACTTAGCCCAGACAGAAAATGTACTGCTCAAGAATTCACGTGTGCTAACAAGCACTGCATTGCAAAGGACAAGCTGTGTGATTTTGTGAATGATTGTGCTGATAATTCAGATGAGACTACTGTGATTTGCGGTAAGTTAATGGGCTCTGTTTTCTTTCTTTGGCTTTAACTCCCACAAACTCACTCAATGTGATTCGATCCATGTAGAGTGTGTGTATCACAGTACTGGAGTCAGGTAAGATGTTTTAAGAGTTGAAACACATTCCTTTCTCCCACTCAATTATTTATTTATAGTCATCATTCATTTAAAACTAGTTGGTGGCTCTTTGTGTGTATGAAGTAATTGGAGATAAATTGGAAAACAGGTGTCTTCAAAGATAAACAGAATGGAAACAAGTATTTACCATATTATAGAATCTTTTTGTTTTTTTGAGAAAAGACAAGCAAAACATTCATCAAAGCCAGTTCACGTAGAGTTGGTAAGGCTTCATGCTTTGATGCATTTCAGAGGGTTGTCAGTTCTCTGTATAAATTATCAGATGAGATAAATTGTTAAAAACCAAATTAAAAAATCAATACCCTGATAAATACCTGTATATAAAATAGACAAAGTGATCTCCCCAGGGAGATAACTATCAGCTATGTAATATTGTTGTAGGAGATCCACTCATAACAAATAGCATCTATTAAAATATCTTTACCTGCATGGACCTTATGTGCTGATTAGGGTACAGCAAAGTCCAATTGTTGCTTCATTCATTGCAAATGAGGTGAAAATAAGTTGTCAAAATGAGAGTTGACAAATTATTCCACTACTTCTTATAATAGTTCTTATAATAATTTCTGAGCTTGAATATTACAGTTTGATTTTATTCGCTTTTTGAAATTGGTTGGCATATCAAGAACAGCTTCAGTGGTTAGAGCTCATAGTTATATAGAACTTTTAATGCCCAAAGCCCTTTTATTCACTAATTTCCACTTGATCTTCAGATATTACCAGTCCATTCAACAGATGAAGCAGCCACCAAGAGTGGTTAAGATTTTGCCAAAGTTCATAAAAGTGGTACTGGCAGAGTTGGTCCTAGAATCCATGCACTTTGATTTATGATCCAGTGCTTTGCCCAAGCTACCATATCATTTGTCTCTAACACCAAACCTTAAAAAGAAAAAAAATGTTACCTGTTGTCACTGTATATAAATGATAAGCGGTTGAGGTGATGGATATGCAAATTACACTGATTTGATCACTAAACAATATATGCATTTCTAGAAACATTGTACTGTACCTCATATATATGTACAGTTCTGATATCAAACTTATTCTCAAAAAATTATAAAATTTGAAGTCTTGTTTATGTCATATATTAACAACTACACATTCCTTCCATAATATCATATCTGAACCAGGCAAAAATACTTGGCTCCTCTGAAATTCTGTATTTATTAATATTTATCTTTACCTCATGAATATTTCTGCTACAGTTTTAGTTATTTTCCACATGAAATGCTTGTGTATTTTCTTCATTTCCATTTTCATTTGAATATCACACAAATCTATCAGGTTTATAGTTAAATAGAGTATATATAATGCTTTTGAATTTTATTTGTAAAATTGCAGGTGTATCTCTTTCCCAGAGATATAATTTAATGTAATTTTTTCAGAACTTAAAGTATCAATTAATTTCTAGCTAAATTTTTTTTAATTTTTTATTTTTTCATATTATGGGGGTACAAATATTGTTAGGGTTACATATATTGCCCCTGCCATTCCTCCCCACGCCCCCCCCGCCCTACCAAAACATCAAGCATGTCCTACTCTCAGGTGGTGCGCATCGCACCTATTTTGTGAGTGTAAATTTTTCCCCTCCTCCCCCCTCCAATTTGCCCACCACCCCCCATAAAAGTTTGTTTGTTTTTCCCCTTTCTTTGACCTTTGGGTTATATTGTATATCTTAGCCTTTCCCTTGGAAGGCTAAATTTTTCTTGAACTCCTTGTATTTAGGATCTAAAGTCATGACTATTTCTAGGAATTTTCTATCTGTATTTGAGAAAGAATGCTGATAATACTAAGGAGATCAGAAATGTATTGAAAATGTATTGTTCTTGGGAGTTCTTTTGTGAAACATAAAGGCAAGAGTAATCATAAGGCTTTGGAGGATGAGTTTTACCAGAAGGTGCTTTTTGGAGAACTGACTGCCAGATCTCTTTGTTTTGAGTGGCCATATTCATGTCAGTAACAGAGCAAGAAAGCTGAATTAGTTCTAAGTACTGCATAGGAAAATAAAACTTTTTCAGCTCCTAGGATAAACAAACAGAAAAGTTAGAATAAACTTGAATTTAGCATTGTTTTTCATTTACATGAAAATGATTTCTTTTTATATAACATTGGTTTTAAAAATTTTTTTCAACTATATTTCCAATCTACTGATCTTAAATGTTATGTTTTAATTATAGAGTGGCTAGAATCTGCTATATGAATTATGAGTGGTATTATTATCCGGCATATGCTGTAAACTTTGATGCTCTAATTAAACCCAGAAGAATAGGAAGACAAAATTAAAGGAATCACCATAGCAACTGATTTCAAAAGTTTAGCTGGCAACCAACCAAGTATCTGGGCTTAAATTCAAAAGTCTTTGTTCTTTGTTTTGTGTTGAGAATTCTAAGTAAAGGTTGAACATGTATCACAACTCTATAAAAACTATAAAATATAATTTTGTAGAAATGCGCCATCTAGGAAAAGCAGAAAAAAATGAAAGAAATGAATGCTTTAACAGACTATCTCTGATGGTGAAAAAGAAAATAATCTTTTATAATACAAAAGTACCTGCTGCTTTATTTTTCTGTAGATCAGTGTAGAGGCAAAGCAAAATCTATCAGGAAAATGAAAATTTTATTTATTTTATGCTCTGAATAGCATTTCTAAAACATAGGACATAGTCAAAGGAAGTGATTTGTGTATATAAAAACTCTAAAACCTTATTTGAATATAATTCTGCCATTGATATAGGGGCTTCTTTGGAAAATAACCATATATTTTTTTTGTTTTCTGATACATTCTAATTAGCATATTTAATACACAATTCAGAATAACCCAGGATTATCAAATAATTCTACACTGTGATAAGTAAGGAATCAGGACATTTGATAAACATAATTAGTAATCTGAACCTATTGGGTATATGTGACACTGTTTACTATTAGGTATATGTGACACTTTTTACCATCTGCAGATATCTGTTCTTTTCAAGCACACATGGAATATTTACTAAAAAAACAAAAATAGTTATAGTTTTAAACATTAAGAAATTTCTATAATTTTAATGGATTAAACTCACATGAAGTATGCCTTTTCAATTAGGCTGAAAGTCCATTATAAGACAATACCTAGAAAATCTCAATTGGTTAGGAGAAAGACACTTTTAATAACCCATACCTCCCCACCAAAAAAATATCACAATAAAACTAGAAAACGTTTTGAACCAAAATATAATATAAATAATGCATAACATAACCTGTGGGATCTTGCTAAGCAAGTACATAGAGAAAAAATGTATTGCCTTCAACAATTATATTAGAAACTAATTAGCTAATACTGCAAATTAATGAAATAGAACACAAATCTAAAAGAAGATTCCAAAACTGATAAAATTTGCAAAACTCTGTCAATAATCAAGGGAAACAGAGAAGACAAAAATATCAAATTAGTTTAATACATATTTATTGAGCAGTTATTATATGTCAAGCAATGTTTGAGACATGTAGTATGTATACCATTAAATGAAATGGAAAAAAATCCTATTCTTCATAAACATATACTCTTGTGTTAAACAATATATTCTCTCTTTCTATATACACGCACAAGAGAAATACATATATACAACCACACAGAACTACACACACATATACATATGTGTATATATATGTAAGTAAATTATCTAGCTTGTTAAAGGGTGATCAGTGCCATGAGAAAAAAATGTAAGGGATTTTACAAATGGAGAAAGAGAAAGTTGAAATATTAAAAAGCATGGTATGGATAGGTGTAGGTGAAAATGTATTTAAGCAAATTCTTGGAGAAAGTTTGGGACATTTTTCTTTTCAAATTTTATTTATTACAGCCATCCTAGTTGGTATGAAGTGGAATGTCATTGTCGTTTTGATTTACATTTCCCTAATGACCAGTGATATTGAGCATTTTTCTTAGATCTATTGGCCATATGTATATCTCCTTTGGAGAAATATCCACTAAAGTCTTTTCCTCATTTTTTATAGGATTGTTTATCTTTCATTGTTGAGTTACAGGAGTTCTTTAAAATTCTGGATATTAAATTATTATCAAATATATGATTTGTAAATATTTTCATTCTGTAGGTTGTCTTTTTGTAATTTTAATTTTTAGAGAATTTATAGCAATTTTAGGGTCCCAATATAACTCCCTTGACCCCATATATCCATAGCCTCCCCCACTATCAACATCCCATACAGGAGTGGTGGATTTGCTATAATCAATGTACCTACATTGACTCATTAACACCCAAAGTCTGTAGTTTATATTAGGTTTCATTCTTGGTGTTATACATTCTATGGTTTTTGACAAATATGTAACAACATATATCCACTAGCATAGTATCCTACAGAGTATTTTCACTATCCTAAAATTCTTCCATGTTCCACCTGTTTGTCTCTTTCTCTTCCCAAACCCCTGATAACTGATTTTTATTGTCTCCATAATTTTGCCTTTTCAAAAGGGCATATAGTTGGAATCATATGTATGTAGCCTTTTCAGGTCACCTTTTCACTTAGTAATGTGTATTTAAGTTTTCTCCCTGTTTTTTCATGACTTGATAGCTCGTTTCTCTTCAGGGCTGCATAATATTCTGTTGTCTGAATGTACCATAGTTTATTTACCCATTCGTCCACCAAAGGGCATCTTGGTTATTTCCAGTTTGGGTTATTATGGATAAAGCATGTGTAGGCTTTTGTGTAGACCTAAGTTTTTAGTTCATTTGGACAAATATCCAGGAGCATGATTGCTGGCTCATATGGAAAAGTACTTTAATTTTGTAAGAAACTGCCACTGTCTTCCAAAATGGCTATACCATTTTGTATTCCCACTAGCAATGAATGAGAA